GTGTATATATAAATGAACATTTATAATTGCATAATTAGACATTATTACAACAAAACAGAATAACAAATGTTAAACTATTTTTTTTGAGGGAATAAATATTAAAATATGTTCACTAGTTAAAATTTACATGAGCATCTTTAAAAGAATGAAAATCATTCAAATTTACATGTACAACATATATTTTCGTATACGACTACAATAAACCTATATTTTACTACAGAAACATACATTAAACATAAATGAACATTTACTATTACACAAGTGATCATTTTTTTTACTTAAAGTATTTTTAAACGATACACCAATGTGATAAAAATAAACGATTTGGCAAAATAATAACAACTATAAATGTTCATATAAGACACACAAAACTGGAAAGACAACAATCAAATAATAAGATTACAATCAAAATTACAAAATAAAAACAATTACACAAATAAGAATCAAATTAGAAGAGTAATACAACCAAAACTTTGAATCAACTACTAATAACAAAAACCAATACCAAAACCAGAGCATTATAATCAAAATTAAAATCAGTAGAACAAAAACTATGAAATCAAAACATTATAATCGTACAATCACAATCACGATCAAAAGCAATTAAGCTAGAATCACAGTCACGATCAAACGCAATTGAGCTAGAAATTTCCATGGAAGAAGAGAGAGAAAAATTGGGGGAAAAATGAAAAATGCAGGATAGAGAAAATGAAATCAGTAAAATAAGAGAGAAATAAAATGGAAATTAGGTCAAAAAATCATTATATAGTTGCTTGAATAGAAAGTTAACAAAAATGAAAAATGAAGAAAGAAAAAACAAAAAAAACAAAAATGGCAGAACAGTGCAATATAAAACGACGTAGTATCATGGGGGTGTAGGGAAAGCTGACTAGCCTAGAGTCTAGGCAAAAATTTGTATGCGGGCGCAGGTCAGTGGTCGCGGGCTGGCAGTAGCTCCGGCAGGTCTCGAGTGGGCGCGGGAATGACCCGCAGCAAAATCCCGCGGGTGGCTGACAGCATTGCTTGGATTCAAACGCTTATAACTTCTGTTCTAGAAGGCTTCTTGGGGCGTGTAACCTATCAATTGAAAGCTATTAAAGTCTAGTTTCGAATGCAATTTGAATCGCATCAATCCGATTTGTAGAACTCAAGTTATGATCAAACGAATGGACAAAGGTCAGTTTTGTCACTTTGTAAAACATCGTTTAACTTCGTTACTAACTCAAATTCGTTTCCGTAAAGTGCATAACAACCCTTGTGGATGCTTTATTCATTCCTCATGCATATAAATCTCAAAACAAGCTTCCACAAACATATATCCTTCATTGAACAACCTCGATTCATCGACTTTTCATCCTTTCATTGTCCAGTTCTTCCAAAATCACTCTGAAAGCGTCCAAATAGTTATAGAAACTACCTGAAACATTAAGAAAACACAAAAGAAACGTAATAGAGCACAAAATGAATAACTTATGCAATTACGACCTAATAAGCGATAAAAGACTCAAAAAGCAACTATAAAACTAGCATAAATGTGCCGATAAACTCTATATAAATGTGATTCATCATGCCCACATATCATCAACCAATTGTACCTATCCTCTATCAGGTAATACATGTCCTCTAATAGATTGTATATATCCTCCATCAAATACTACATACATATCATCTAACAAACCATACATATCCTTCATCAAATAACACATATCATCCAACAAATTGTATGTATCCTCTATTAAATAATACATATCCTCCAACAAATTATATATATCATCCATCAAATAATTTATATTCTTCAATAAATTATACGTATTCCCCTATTAAATAAAATAATCCTTTAACAAATTGTACATATCCTCTAACAAATTGTACATATCCTCCATCAAATAATTCATATCTTTTAATAAACTTTACATATCTTATATCAAATTAGATATTTTTTAAATGAACTATACATATTTTCTTACAGTAAAAAAAAAAAAGAAAAAAAAACTATACATATTTTCTAACATAGTATATATCCTCTATCAAATAATATATATCCTGGTAGGGAATATTTCAAGCATTACCCCAAACTTGAACCCCGCTATGATCATACATGAAAGTACGGTAGCGTCCAAAGGGAAGGAAACAAGAGCAAAAGAGTCGCCAACAAGTTTTAGGAACTTGTAAATCGTTCACGAGGTGAAGGTTACACCCCTTAACGATGCATGAGATCGTCAACTCCAGAAGGTCTTGAACCAAATAGGGTTCGGGGATGAGGGTACGAATCCAATCTACAAAAGAAAGGACCCACCCTATAAAATAGGCCTCTACTTTATTCTACTCGTATTTATGTGCACTTTTTGACTAACATGCAAACATTATATTAATCCTAAACCTGTTTAATCTATGTTGGTTGAATATTAATGCAAATATAAAACTATTATTGGCGATCACTTGAATTAAATTCATATTAGCCTAAACCAAATTATTAATTATCTTATTAAGCGTGATTACAAATACAAATTCCCTTTAAACATGCATAAAATGCGTGATCAAGCAATAACAATGAAATATATCAAGCAACATAATAATAACAATAATGATAGTAATCAACATCATAATCATATCAACGCTAAAGCAAAACAATAGCAAGATCCTAGGCATGATACTAGCAAGATTAATAACAAATCCTAACATGTCACTAAACAATAAAAGACACCACAAACATGATACTAGAGAGCAATAAGTAGATCCTAACATGATACCAGGAATTAAACAATATAAGCATGCTTTCTACATTAAAATAAAATAAAGAGTAGGCTAATTACTTACTTTGAAGCCTCGTACCTCTTATTAATAACAAAATATACGAGTTAGTAAACTTTAATGAAAATAATAAATCAAATAATTAAATTTAGTAAATGAAAGAAAGAGTTATAAAGTTTAGACTAGATTTGGTACCAAACCCTCAGAAATTATCAACCTTTCACGTCTAGGGCGAAGGCAACTTTGAACTTGGCTAGGTGTTTCAAGATCTTGTGAATGCGGTATTGTGTTTGTAAAAGCTAGCTAGAAAGAGAGAGAAAGAAAGTATGTATATTGCTCAAAAGAGAAGAGAGAGAGAGTTGATAGTTGTGAATGAATGAAAACGGAGATCCGAGGACCCTATTTATAGGAAAATAGTTCGGAAATTGTTTGAAAATAGTCAGAATTTGAAAAGGAATAAAACTCCACGCTGTCGACAGGAATTCAACCTGTCGCCAGGGGATAAGCCTTGTCACCGTTTTGTGACTGCTTGGATTTTTGACGCGCTTTCAGAACGGAGTCCACTTATCAATAACACTTATCAATAAAATTGAGTTGTAAAGTCCGTACAAAGGCTAAAATTGTAATTTCATATAAAACATTATTTTATTCCAAATAAAACTCATTTACATAAAAAAGGGTTCTTATATAAGAAAGAAAGGGTTCTTATATAAGAAAGAAGGGGTTCTTACCGGATCCCTCCCTATATATATATATCAACAAATTGTATGTATCCTCTACCAAACTTTACATATCCTCTAACAAATTATACAGGTTTCATAACATAGTACATATCCTCAATCAAATTGTATATATCCTCTAAAAATAAAAAGTCGAAAAAAAATTAAAAATTGAAAAAAAAAATGTAAAATTAATAGGTCAATAATGGAGGAACCTCCAGGTCCCGTACTAAGCTCATGGGTATAACATAACTTGCTCATTTCTCAACTAAAATACATGCATTTGTTATCAAAACACTCATAATTAATCATACAATCCCATGGGACAATCAATATCAACAATTATAAATTAATCATACAATCCCATGGGACAATCAATATCAACAATTATAAATCATACTAAAAAGCCCCAATTTGATTTTGTTTGGTATTTTTTAAAAAATCCGAGAATCTCAAGCAATTAAAGGCAATTCAGTCATAAAATATGAACAAATATAATCAACAATCCTTATTTTCTCTCTCCTCTCCATCCTCTTCAATTCTCTTAAACTTTCTCTCTCCTCCACCATGGTTGACGTATTTGATCCCGACAAATTTTTCACTGCTCAATTGTATCTCGCATAGCTTGTGATTGTTGTTGTTGGATGATGGTTCAATTTTTTGTTGCTGGGATGTTTGTCGCATAGCTTGTGATTGTTGTTGTTGGGATGATGGTTCAATTTTTTGTTGCTGGGATGTTTGTTTCCGCACGAAATATCGAGTGCGGCAAGCCGCACCCAATACCTTCTCTTTTTTTGTTAGCCTACTATATACTTCTTACAAAATACAATAGGAGATTAGGAGGTGATGCAATTTATTGAAGGACCAATCTATTACTGTTTTCAACTATTCGTTAACGTTTAATAACGAACGAATTTGCTTTGTCAATGCTTTCTCAAACATTTATATGTTTTTATTCGTATGCTTTCCCTTTGTTTTTTCTATGGAGTATATTACTACTTTTCAAACTCTCTCAACTTATATTTGTAATTTTGTATACCCTTTAAGGCTCACACTTTACGCAACCTTTTTTTTGTTTTGTTTTGTAATTCACTCACTTTTATTTAGTCAAGCAATATTGTTGCAACAATGCAACATATGTTCAACTTTTTTTCAAGTCTATTCCTTAGGATAATTTATGTTAGCCGACCCTAAATAATTTTGAGACTACAACTTTATTGTTGTTGGTTGTTATCCTTACCTTATTATCTTCAAGTTTTTTTTTCGGGGACTTAATTTTTATCCCACTCAGCCATTCTTCTTTATCTCATTTGTCTTATGCACCATTCATTTTTAGGCTTATCTAGCCCTCTAAGATTAGAAAAGATTAAGTGTTGATTGATTCCGGTAGTTTGGTATAGCTTGATTAAGAGGATAAGTACTACTCTTGCTTTGCATTATCAATTTAGTACATTAATTAAAGATTTTGCTCATAAATGGTTTTTCCAATATTTTAAAATTATTTTCCTAAATTTAAAAAAAAAAATAAAAAAAAAAATAAAAAAGAGAAATGGTGCGTGGTAATAACAACACAAGGCATGTGAAGCAAGTAAGCAACCTTACAACCCATGCCAAAGCCATTCCTTCCTTAGTTCAGTTTTGTAATACGTTCCTTTTAAACCAAGTTTGGAACACTTATAATAACTTCATATATATACTCGTACAGTATTGCTCTATAACTTTATCTCACAATCAACTAACCATATACCTTTCCTTCTATAACCAATTCATTTCGTGTTTTGATATTGCTAGCCATGCCTATCTACTCAGACTCCGATGATCAAGCTCCTGGCCTGTCTAATATGTCAAGGATGTTTGGCAGAAACCGGTCATTGCATTCCATTTTAGGTGGCCGTAGAGGTAATCCTACCCACCAATTGATTGTTAAAAGTTATTTCTGTGTCCAAATTTAATAGTCACATATACTATATTAGGACGAAATACAAAGAAATTATGCCTACACTACAAGCAAATTGCGGGTTAAATATAATTTGTTATTGTCACAGTCGCTGATATATTGTTGTGGAGGAACAAGACCTTATCAGCATCAATCTTAGCTGGGTTCTCGATAATATGGTTTCTATTCGAGGTGGTTGAACTCCACTTCATCACAGTTGCATGTTACATTCTCATGACCTTCATGCTCGTCCTTTTCATCTGGATTCAAGGAGCAAGCTTCTTTAGATGGTACATCTTTATGCATTAAAAGAACCTATACATTAATAAGTCACAATGTCACATATATGATATATCTGATTATGCTGGTCAAATTCGAATCAATAAATTTATGAATCATGAAATACCCTGTAATAAATTTGACAGGAGGCCTCCGACGATGTATGACATTCAGATATCAGAAACAACAGCGAAACATGTGTTATCAAGAATAAACAAGTTTTTGATAAAGTTCTATAGGATTTCTTGTGGAGAAGATTTCGCACGCTTCTTTGTGGTATGCAATACTGTTTCCCCTTCACAGCTTCTCAAGGAGTTGTCACCGGACCTTTTACTATGCTCTTTCCTCTATTATTTTCAGGCTCTCGCTGCTATTTGGTTATTATCCATCTTCGGAAGCTACTCTAGTGCTCTGAATGTACTATATGTTGGTAAGTATGAAAATTCTTTTTTAGTATGAAATTTTAGACTGCACGGATTTTGTTACATTTTTATTTGATCATGATGTTGTGCTTGTTATTGCAGTGTTTCTCGGGTTGATCACGATTCCAGTTCTCTATGAACGATACGAGAGGGAGGTTACCTACCTTGCCACCCAAGGGAAAGGAGATATGAAGAGATTGTACAGGAAGATAGACACCAAAGTTCTCAGCAAAATTCCAAGAGGACCAGTCAAGGAAAGGAAATATAAGTAAAAAGTTTAAGAAAAATTGGGAAAATATGAATTGTACTTAAAAATTAATGGATCTTTACTCAAATCTATGTGATGAAAAAAAAAAGCTCTAAATCATAATTTTAATTTGTTTATGCTTTGCAAAGAAGAACAAAACTCTGTCCGTCAGTCGTTTTTAGTGATTCGTAATTATGTTGATCATTCAATAAAATCATGTTGCACTTCGGTGAATTTCTCATTTTCTATCTCCTAGTATTGAAGTTAATTCTTAGATTTAATGCTAATATCTGCTAATGATCTTAATATAAACTGACTTCCATGTTATATAATTTTTCGACGAAAAGGCAGACATTTAAGAGAAAGACCCCTGATACATTGAACCTTTATTTGGAACAAAAACATAAGAAAACTTCATCTTTCAAAACCATTTCCTTGGCATATGCTGCAACCTGAAATCCTCAGTGAAAACCCATCAGTGAAAAATATGATTAGCTGTTGTGTTGTTTCGTTGCTCTCCTACCAGATGGCTTACCTGAAAGTTTCAGATTGAATAGTAACAATTAAGAGCAATCTAAAACATACTTCCTCTATCAAAAATTAACAGTCACAATTACTATTGTTGAATGTCTGGAAAAAGGGAGTTGGAAACTAAGCATCAAAATAGTTAGTGAGATAAATAACCTGTCTCAGGCTGCTCTGTTTCACCAGCAGAGTTTCCTTCTGTAGGCAGAACCGGTGTCGGACACATTGTAGGGAAAGGAAAACTTGCAAGCGTTGAGGGTGCAAAGGGGTGTACACCTGCAGCAGGAGGAAAAGGCATCCATTGTGCACATGGAGTTGAACAGCTTGCACATACACTCGGTCTGAACGCCATTCCAACACCAGCTCCTATGCCTGGTCTGATGGGAACAGATTGGGGCACGCTCGAAAATTGCATACCTGGAGTTGCAACACAAGGCATGTATTGTGCTAGGAATTCGCCTTCTCGGGCTTTCTTCATCATCTGATTAAAACAAAGGCTAATAAACAACCAAGTTCATTAATTCATGGTATAACATGTTTTACATGTAGATAACAGTTGTTCCATTTTTACAACAACGTACAGAGTTTTAGATTTTCAACCATAAACCATTACGAATACTGTTATATAGGGCACGTACTTCCATTATTACAGTAAAAATTCAATCATAAACCATTACAGTACTGTTATATAGGGGATGTACATTCATATTTACTGTAACATACAGAGTTTCTGAAACTCAATCATAAACCATTACTAGTAACGTTATATAGAGGATGTACTTCCATTTTTACAATAACACACATAATTTTAGAAATCCAACCATAAACCATTGCAAAAACTGTTACAGGGGATGTGACAGACTATTTAAGAAAGTCTAAGCAAAATAGTTGGCAAAATATGCGAGACTTGCCTCAACTTGAAGCTTTAAGGATTTCACATAGTTTGCAGCATCTTCCAGGATAGAAGCTCGGTCCTTCTGTAATATAGCAGCAATTTTAGTGAAACAATTAGTTCAAAAAAAAAAGGCAGGATTTCAAAATCTGAGATGCACATCTTAACTAGAGCTTGACTCACTCGATTAATACCTCTAGCTATATCTTTGAATGTTAATTAGTCTAAAATAACATAAATTAATTGATGTGAAAGGGGATTGAGTATGAGACCTTTCTACAATGGGGCATCAGTTCTTGTAGTGTTTGTATCTTTCCCTTGATCTTATTTCTTCGTCTCTGATCACAAGAGAATTGAAGTAATTGAGAACAATTATACAAAAATGTTCTTATCTTATAATTTGTATTTATTTCATTGTTATCATTGTTATCACAATACTTTACATTTTTAAACTATTCATTCATACAATGACTTTTAATCATATTTTCTTGGTAATGAATTTTAAAAAGAATGTTACAATGTATATTTTGACCTACTACATAGTTTTAAGCAATGCTCATTTAATTTTAATCTTTTCTGTTATTACTATTAGAAAAGTTTCAATTACAAAATTTGATCTTTCACTTAAAAGAATTATCTAGTACTATTGTAAAAAACAGAAAAAAATATTACAATAACCTTTATCACGGAGACCTTGATACCTTTGTCTCATGGTGCATTTTCAAATTATTTACTTGATGTTCACCAAAAAGAAAAAAAAAATTATTAACTTAATATAACTTTAGCAAACTCTGAAATACTTAGATAAAAACGCCTTATGTATAAAATAGAATTCTGCATTAATAAAGAGCTACAAAAGCACAAACAAAAAAAGAGATAAAATTAGGAAATTTTAATATTTACTACCAGTAAAAACACCACTCTTCACATTTGCTACCTATTTAAAGTTTTTTTATACTTTGCTACCACCTAAATCACAGTTTGTGAGAAATTGCTACCACTTAGCAGAATCCATTAAGATTCTGTTAAGTGGGCCTAATATTTAATTAAATAATAATATAATTTAAAAAAAAAATAAATAAATAAAAAATTTAAATCCCCCAAAACAGTCCGTCAGCCACCACTCCCACCTCCGTCGCCGGCTGCTTGTAGCCCGTCAGCCATTGCTACCTCTCCCACCTCCGTGTCGGCTGTTCCCTCACTGGCGACGAATCCATGGTCCTCCCTCCCACCTAAACACCACCCTTAAAACCGCCCTAAATGAGTTTTAGGGTTTCGTTTTTAGGGTGGTGTTGGTTGCGATTGGCCGCAATTGCTACCCTTAAAACCGCCCTAAACGACCCCACAACCCTCTCTTTCCTCTGATTTCCCACCGTTTTAGAGTGATTGTTGCGATTGGTCGCAATTTGGTGACCGTGATTGGCACGTTTGGCCGCTGCTGCTGCCGCAATTTGCTGTCGTGGTGGTGAGATAAGGGAGGTGCGGTGCTGCGGCTAATGGAGGAGGTGTGGTGCGTGGTGTTTTGTGGTGCTGCTGCTGATGGAGGGATGTGCGTGGTGGTGTTTTGCGGTGCTGCTGCTAATGGAGGGATATGCGTGGTGGTGCCGCAATGATGAAGGTCGGTGCTACGGTGCTGCTGCTAATGGTATTGTTGGCCGCCGCGATTTATTGTACTGCAAGATTTTGCGGTGGTGATGGAAGGGTGGTGACGGTGGAGGGAGATGTTGTGCGCGGTGGTGAGACAAGGGAGGTCGTTGGTGGTTGATTGTTGGTGGTAGCAGGGAGCAGGGGTGGCTGGAAGGTGGGTGGGGTGGCAAGAAGGTGGCTGGACGGTGGTTGAGCCCCACTAACGGAAACAGTAACAGATTTAGGTGGTAGCGATTTTTAACAAAATGTGATTTAGGTGGTAGCAAAGTAAAAAAAAAAAAAATTTAAATAGGTAACAAATGTAAAAAGTGGTGTTTTTCCTGGTAGTAAATGTCAAATTTTCCATAAAATTACTGTTTTATATCATGTCAATCTGTATTGTTTAAACTAGTGGCGGATCCACGTTGGGTTCAAGTGGGCTCATTGAACCCACTGGATCCGCCCCAAAAATCTGGTAACTTAAAAGAAAAAATAAAACTATGTTATAAGTAAAGCACATGCAGCATATTACTCTTAAATTGAAGTGGCCTGGTGGTCAGCGTGTTAAACCTAACTCCTTCAATCCCTTGAAGTCAGCAGTTCAACTCTTGCTAGTGCCTTTTTTTTTTTAAATTTTTTAAAAAAGTTAATCTTTTTAGATTTATTATTATTCTTTTCTATTCCATCCTCTTTTTTTTTTTTTTTTAGGATTACTATTCCATCCTTTTTCAAAGCTAATATTAAGAGGTTCATTCACATATGGTAAAAATGAATTTCTTTTTTCTAGAAATATCATTGGAATTAATAAAGTTATTTTCTTAAATGTATTTACACCTTTAAGATTAAAGTTGTGACACATGACCAAATAGAAGCTCCCCGAATCTAGCTAGCTAGCTATTGTACATACATCACACGTGTTAGTTACTCTAGTTTAAAAAAAAAAATCCGAACCCACTAACTTAGAATCCTGGATACGCCACTGGGTTAAACTAATTGGTACTTTGTATTTACTATGGAGTAATATTTAAAGTCAAAAAACACTTAAACAGAATTGTTGTAATCTATTAAGTATTACTAAAACAAAAGATGCTGACATCATTAAAAGACACTTGTCGACTTTTTATGAAAAATTTTCCCGTCAAAACTATTTTTGACATCATAATTTTTTTTCTCTATTTTTTCCTCCTATGTACTAAAACTTAACAAACACAATATTTCTTTCCAAATTAATTAATGAGATTATTATCACGCCTTTTTCAAATACAGAATATTGACAACTATTTTAAACAAATAATATCTATTTAAGTAGTGCAATGCACGAGATTAAACTAGTTATTTAAAACAAAGGAGTTTTATAAATTTAAACTTTTTTCAACCAATTATTAAAATATTGAACAAACACTGTCAAGGAGTCATGGACATGCATCACGTGACAAAGGAGCAACAAAACTTAGATTCCGTACAACGGACTATCATAGGATCATGTATTAAAGTCAAAGTTTGTAACAAATAAAAAGTCAAAGTTTCTTACCCTCTCAGATGTATTATGAACTTCGGCTGTTCTGGTACGTTTTATCTGATCAGTCCTTTGACCTTTCGAGCAATTATGCTCCATGACTGCACCCTAATTAAAAATTGAGGACAAAAATTATTAATCGCGCTTTCTTTTACATGAAATAATATTACAGAGTAATTGTAATTGCTATAATTAAGCTTCAAGAAAACTATGCATTGCTGAGAATTATTTCAATCTAAAATTATTTAAAATAATAATATTTCAATGCATATTATTTAAAATTTAAATTTAAATTTAAATAATAAATGAAATTAAATTTTGGCCTTGTATTGATTAAAATTGAGATTGTGTATAGTATATAGTATGATAGGTCATAGATTGTGTGTAAGCACGTTAAAGTAGTAGTTAATATTTCATTCATGTTTTGTATCAATATTTTCGCTTTTGACTCTATCTATATACATTCCTTAAGCACATACTTATGCATAATTTCTTATTATATACAGTGGGAGTATTATTCATAGAACAATACTTTGTTATCTCAGCCAATTTTATGCAAATACAATTGGTCAATTTCGAACAGCATCATCAATAATATGTGTTTAATTGAGCGACGAAAATTAAAAACAATGCTTAATATTCTTTATTTTTACAAGTAATCTCCCTCCCTTTCAATCTTCCT